TCCGTGTGGGGTATGTCCGGCCAATCCTTCTAGCGAGAGGGAGATTCATCCACTATACCTAAATTGTGTGGTGGGCAAGAGTCTTTGTCGGATGATTGGATCGGAGGGGGATCCATCCATTGAAAACGTTTAGACTTCTTTAAAGGGGCTTTGCCCTTGGCCTTAGCACCGGGTGGTGAACTGGAACCCTTCCAAATGAGCTTGGGGCCTATATGGCTCCATGGGGGCATCTGATACCAGTGTGCCCCCTGTTCCTGGCGACCCTGCGTCTTGTGCCTGTGGCATGAACCATGATAGGGCCTTCTCCACTGAGGCCGCCACTACGACATTAAAAGTCTTGTGTAGGGGGCAGAGCTTGACTGCCAAGGAAACCAGACGTGCTCTGCAAGAGCTCCTGCATCTGGCCCCAATAAATCACGATTTACACCCGGGCCACCCATCAATGAGACCACAATAAGCACTCATATTGCCACTGGGTCTTCGGTGCACCGGAGGATACTTGTTGCGAACCTGTCTGGACCCGGTACGTCCTGGTAGTGGCCAGCGGCCTACACAAGCCTGAGCTCTGGAGAGATGGCCGCTCTCTAAGCTCCTTCATTTACTACGTGGTCCCGGTGAACAAAGCTATCTTCTCTCCCCCCCCCCGGACCGGTGGGGGTTATCCCGGTATCCACTGGCTGGCACCTCTGTCGACCCTACACAGCTATCTTAGCACGACGCCCGATCACGGCTGACTCACCTAAGATGGCGGCCAGGTCTCTGCTCCACCAGCCGGGTCTGAATCAGCCCATGGAGACACGAGGAGGTGCGGCTGATTATGTGCTGGAGCGACTGGATGCGACCTTTGCTGATTTCTGGGCCAAATTTGAGGCTCTTATTGAAGCGACACCAAATGAATCTCCTGAAGGAGAGCAACCCAGAGAGTCACTCTATACGCCTGCTGAAAAGCAAGCGTGTCCTGGGGGTCATCCTACTACACGAAGCGGCAAGCATGTACACAACCACCCCCCCCCCGCACGACTAACAAAGCGAGAAAGCGCAAGAAGCCACAGCGGCAGGCATCGCTCTCCCGACAAGCCCAGCAGCATGGACGCTACTACCCACCTCGACCGTGGAGATCCAGACTCCCTCGACAGGAGCAACAGGACCCAGAGGTAGTCCCCTTAAGCTGCCTGGCAAACAAGAACGTCGGCCCATGGAGGTCTCCATCATTCCTAGTTCGGCGCCACACACGGAAGGAGCAAGAAGGGAAGGCAGAACCCAGCACCAAGCTACCTCACCAGACTTGGACTCTAAGCGGCATAGGCTAAGGGTCCTGTGTAGAATCATACCAAACCAAAGGTAGCCAGGGTAGCAGCCAGCTTTACCTTGGTAACATGTTATAACTTTGATTGCATTCACTATTATTTTTCTTTCCTTTGTTTAGAACACCCTAAATCTATAAACATCAGTAGTATATTCACAAATGCCTGTTATATGTTTCCTGTAGGCTTATTTCTGGTTTAAGCCTAGCGTAATATGCAACCACTTATTCCCTGCCTAGCCAGACAAGAGATAGGATGGAATCAACCTAGCATATACTATGTTGTAAAGCCGTGTTCATACAATGATTGCACATGTCATGCTTTGTCTCTATGTCACTCCTCTGTTTACCCTTTCCTGACATGTGCACCTCGCTAACCCACTTAAACGAGACCCTAAACTATTGTATTGCATACCATGTATACCTACATGTAACTCGATACTTTAATGCTATGTTTCTTAAGCCTGATAATATAAAAATTGTGCCAGTTAAGAATACACCCCGCATGCTCGTGTGGGACAAGCCTGAGGATTGCCTTTGGGGTACCTCAAGCATACCTGTAATATATACGTGCACTACAAAAATAAAGAATAAAAAAAAAAAAAAAAAGTCTTGTGTGGGAGGGGGAGTGTAGTCCATCATGCCTTAATCTGTCCCTGTAAAAGACAGCGACAGTCAGTGGGTGTACAGTAGCCAGAGACGCACAGCAGGTGTCAGGCTCCTAGTACAACTGGGGCTCACCCAGGACTCGACTCAGTGTATGTATATACAGCCGTCAATCAGAGTACAGTGCAAAATAAGAGGGGCTCACCCTACGGGGTATGTAAAGGGGGTTTCCCTTAAGTGAAATAGGAGATGTGGTAGTCTCCTAACATTTGCGGGGTGGACCCTCTAATATGCCACTTTATTGTGGACTCCAAATTGCCCGTGGTGACGTATACCACTAAGGGGTGCACCCAGTTGTATGTCAAGGCTGGGACCTCCATGGTCAGCTATATGCAGATGTCTGTAAACAGCTTAACAAATAGTGCCAGTGATGGATTCACACCCAAAATCTGGGGACTCTCCTCAGGTGGCGTACCTTGTGCAACAGAGGGCACCTACAAATGGCAACTGGTATAAGGCAGACAGGCACAGTGCAAGGACATACAGCCCTAGATACACCACAGTGGGTAATATAAAATAATCAGCAATTACAACACCCAGATTGTGGTCCCTTGTGTGACAGTGACTCAATAGATTAAGACATTTTACATATAAATAGAAACACTCCCAGAATTGGCATAAACACAGTATGTTTTCCTCTAGCCAAAGGTACCTTATAACTGATATAGCAGGATTAGCAGGTCCTTTAGGCAGTATGTAACCATTGAATATAGTTAGAAGTACTTGCCTGAGGGTAAATGGAGATCCAGATTGTGGTAATACCGATATGGAAGGAGAAAGAAAATGGCCAACGTCAATCTTGAGGCATCCTCGAGATCCAAGATGGCCGCCAAGCACAATGTTTGGCGTAGTCCCCAGTTTTTCGGGCCCGCTGGCGAGAGAGAAAACAGCGCTGGTGCCCCCCACCACACCTACACCTCCGCACAGATAGCCCCAGAGGAAAACGAAAATCAGATAGGAGCGTGATCGCGTCGCTCGCCGACCGAGATGAGCGAGGGGTTAGGGAAGCAGGACAAACTCTGGCTTCCAGGGGAAGGATGGCAAGAATAGGCCTAAGTGTAGCAGGTCAACTAGAAAGTGCCAAAAAGTGATAATATAAAGTCTGATAGTAGTAGGGGGCAGTAGGATAGTAGGAATTAAACAACAATCATAAGAAAAACTGAACCATAAGTAAAATATCAGGAGGACAAAATACTCTGACCTGTGCGATAGCTGGAGCAGCAAAGAAAGAGGAAGTGAGGGGCGTGTTAGTGCCTTTTGTGGAATGTTAAAATGTTTTCTGATTGGTTGTTCTGGGTTTCTGGAAGTTTTTCGGTAAAGAAAGTTATGCAAATAGGAAGCCTCCTGTCATGTGATAAAATTAATGTTTTCCTTGCAGGAAGCCATGTGTTCACATTAGTACTATTCCCACAGAAAGTTACAAATTACAATGTTATATGTTTCACAGTAAAATAAAAGAAACAGTTATTTATTTGCAAATTATCTTATGTCCATGAAAAATGTTCTGGTGTCCTAGACCGAGGCAACTGCTCAACCTTCTTCTGCTTTTCATTTTAGGCTAAAACTAGTGGTTTATAACAGAGCTAAATATATTGCTATATATATATCTATATATATAAATATATATATATATATATATATATATATATATATATATATATATATATATATATATATATATATATATATATATATGTATTTTGCTATATTTATACCTTCATATTGTAACATTTAAGGAAGTAGAACTGCTTTAACCCCTTAAGGACCAAACTTCTGGAATAAAAGGGAATCATGACATGTCACACATGTCATGTGTCCTTAAGGGGTTAAGCTGCCACACTGGGTTCTGAAACACATACTAGTGATTATGGCTCTGTTCAATGAATTGTGAGTTGTGGTGAATTAGCAACTAATTTTGGCAAAATCTACAACTGATCTGATTTCTAGATTTTTTTTCTCAATTTTTTGCAAGTCATTCCTACATTGCCACAAACAACTGTTTAAAGGACCACTATAGTGCCAGGAAAACATACTAGTTTTCCTGGCACTATAGTGCCCTGAGGGTGCCCCCACCCTCAGGGTCCCACTCCCGCCCGGCTCTGGAAAGGGGAAAAGGGGTAAAACTTACCTTTTTCCAGCGCTGGGCGGGGAGCTCTCCTCCTCCAATCCTCCTCCTCTCCTCCCCGTTGGCTGAATTCGCACGCGCGGCAAGAGCTGCGCGCGCATTCAGCCGGTCGCATAGGAAAGCATTATCAATGCTTTCCTATGCACGCTTGCGTGTTCTCACTGTGATTTTCACAGTGAGAATCACGCAAGCGCCTCTAGCGGCTGTCAATGAGAGGCTTTGGCGGAAGAATTAACCCATTTATAAACATAGCAGTTTCTCTGAAGCTGCTATGTTTATAAAAAAATGGGTTAACCCTAGCTGGACCTGGCACCCAGACCACTTCATTAAGCTGAAGTGGTCTGGGTGCCTAGAGTGGTCCTTTAATGACTATATGCCTTAGTATAAAGGGGTGATGCCATTACTGTATATTTAAAGCAGTGATGTCATAGACCCTGCTAGCTACCTAAATGTTAGCTGTAGGGTGGTACTAAAGAAAAATCCTGTGTATCTGGTAGGATACATATTCTCAAATTAGCGTTAGCAGCCAGCAGGCAAATAGTAAAAGAAAAAAAAATAGATGGTGCAAATGTTAGTTATGTGGTGACTGTCTATTATTTACCAACTGTGGAGACATTCCGGTGTCTTCTCCTACCCATTATATTCTCATCTTCAGATGCCTTCTTTATTCATAAGTCTTATTTTCTGCAGTCCCATAAAACGCAAAAAAAATAAAAAAAATCCATAATATGCAGACAATACAATTAAAATATAAAGAACTGAATCGCAAAAAAAAAAATTAGACACTCCTGCTCCCCCGGTTAAAGGAACACCATAGTCACCTAAATTAGTTTAGCTAAATAAAGCAGTTTTAGTGTATAGATCATTCCTCTGCAATTTTACTGCTCAATTCACTGTCATTTAGGAGTTAAATCACTTTGTTTCTGTTTATGCAGCCCTAGCCACACCACCCCTGGCTATGATTGACAGAGCCTGCATGAAAAAAAAAAAAAAAAAAACTGGTTTCACTTTCAAACAGATGTAATTTACCTTAAATAATGGTATCTCAATCTCTAAATTGAACTTTAGTCACATACAGGAGGCTCTTGCAGGGCCTAGCAAGCTATTAACATAGCAGGGGATAAGAAAATCTTAATTAAACAGAACTTGCAATAAAGAAAGCCTGAAAGCTCTCTTTACAGGAAATGTTTATGGAAGGCTGTGCAAGTCACATGCAGGGAGGTGTGACTAGGGTTCATAAACAAATGAATTTAACTCCTAAATGGCAGAGGATTGAGCAGTGAGGCTGCAGGGGCATATTCTATACACCAAAACTGCTTCATTAAGCTAAAGTTGTTCAGGTGACTATGGTGTCCCTTTAAATTTTACAGCGCCCACCTGCCACTCATGAACATTTTCTGAGTTTTGCAGTCTGAATGTTCCCACAGAGAACTAAATGTTTTTTACCCATTTGGTATGTGGCCACTCAGTCTTTAGTAAATAAACCCCACATTGTTCTAATTGTAAACTACACTTGGGTAGCATAAATAGTTTTTAAAAGGCACCTAACATTTCTCAGAAGAGCCCTGTCACTGTCAAATCCCTAAAATTAAAGTGATTCTCTCCGTCCATTTGAGATATTGAGAGATAGGCAATATTGAAGGAATACCCATGCATTAGGGTGCTCGTATGGCATTTCAATACACGTCTGAGCATTTATAAACATGCTTAAAGCACAACAAGGCAATGACTTGATATGGAATTACTTTGGAAGTAAGTGTGGTTTACTGACTTCTGCTGCAATATTAATGCCAGTAAACACTTCAATAGTGTTTACTGTGGTAGGAAATGAGGATATATTATATTTTTAAGCCTGCAGCAAAGCATATATGAAATTCAGGATATAAGACCCAATGTACTTTGCTCTATACTGAATTTCTGGCTATAATCATGTACAGCAACATGTATTTGACTATTCTCTCTCTTTACATCTCCCTGGTATCCACCCTATCACATTCTCCTTCAGCAGTTTTTGCATTGCTACATTCTAGGAGGGGGATAGGAGGCATGACTTTAGGCACACTGCACACTATCGCAATGCCCTGTACAGTACAGAAGCTAAGTGCTATTTTACGTACTGTGTGTGTTTTAGGAACCTGCATTCCTAGAAATAGAATCAGATTCCTGACGAATACATAGATTTGTGCGAAACATCGCACCATGAAATGTTTTTTTATCCCATTTTATGTTCTTCTCGATCCATTGCATATTTTAAATGAATTGTATGTTTTATTTTTCATGAAATTAACATGTTAGCAAAGGAGCTAAACAAACAACTCTTTGCTCCTTACTCAGGGCCGTCTTTAACGCGGGGCAAACGGGGCAGCTGCCCCGGGCCCAGTTTCTCTTGGGGGGCCCGAGGCACCTGCCCCGTGGGCCCCGCTGACCCCGGCGGGCGGGTGGCCGGTCGGGCAGGAAGGCGGGAGGGTGCGCGAGGGAGCACTCAGTGCTTCCTCTTCAGCTCCCAGTTTCTCAGCAGAACCACTGGACCCCAGGGAATCCCCCCAGCACTCCAAAAGGTAAGGAGGCTGGGGGATTACATTTAAAAAAAAAAAAAAGTGTATGTGTGTGTGTGTGTTGTGTGTGTGTGTGTTGGGTGTGTTTGTGTGTGTTTGTGTGTTCGTGTCTGTGTGTTGGTGTGTGGGTGTGTGTATGTGTGTGTTGGTGTGTTTGTGTGTGGTGTGTGTGGTGTATGTGTGTGTTGGTCTGTGTATGTTTGTGGTGTGTTTATGTGTTGGTGTGTGTTTGTGTGTGTTGGTGTGTGTGTGTTGGTGTCGTGTTGGTGTTGGTGTGTGTGTTTATGTGTTGGTGTGTGTTGGTGTGTGTGTTGGTGTGTGTGTTGGTGTGTGTGTTGGGTGTGTGTGTGTTGGGTGTGTTTGTGTGTTGGTGTGTGTGTCAGCATGTCTGTGTAGTGTCTGTCTGTCTGTGTGTCGGTATATATGTGTGTGTATATCTGTGTGTGTCAGTATGTGTATGTGTCAGTATGTCTGTCAGTGCGTCAGTATGTCTGTTAGTGCATGTGTATGCATGTGTCAGTATATCTGTCTGTGTGCCAGTATGTCTGTGTGTGTGTGTGTCAGTATATCAGTCTGTGTGTGTCAGTGTATGTGTATGTGCCTGTGTGTGTCAGTATTTCTCAGTGTATGTGGGTGTCAGTATATCTGTCAGTGTATGTGTGTCAGTATGTTGATCAGTGTATGTGTCTGTGTGTGTGTGTCAGTATGTCGGTATATGTGTCTGTGTGTCAGTATGTCTGTATATGTGCCTGTGTCAGTATGTCTGTCAGTACGTCTACCAGTGTATGTGTCTGTGTGTGTGTCAATATATGTACCTGTGTCAGTGTGTCTGTCAGTGTATGTGCCTGTTTATCTGTATGTAGTCAGTGTATGTATCTGTGTATCTGCTTGTGCGTCAGAGTGTGTACCTGTGCATCTGAGCCGCAACTTTAAATACAAATACACCCCTCCATTCAAACTTCAACACTACATATAAAACACACTCCTGCATTGAAACGTCAACACTACATACAAGCACACTCCTACATTCAAAAACAAACACTACACATAAATGCACACTTGCATTCAAACTCCAGTACCACATACAAACACATTCACACAAACATACTCCATACAAACACATGCTTACATTCAAACATACTAACATGGCTCAGTGCTAAATACAACCCTGCAAGCATGGGAAATTGGTAGAGTCCCAGCTGTCAAAGCATTGTTGGAGTTGCACGACAGATGGGGTTCTACCTTTAGTCCAACCTTGCAATTGGGGGTCCCAATAAAATTCATTCTACTTTAGTACCGCCACTGCGTTGGGATGGATGCCGTGATTGCATACCAGGGAGTGAGGGGCGAGAGCGGCAGGGCACAGGGGGCCCAAGCAAACACTTGCCCAGGGTCCATTCGTTATTAAAGACGGCCCTGTCCTTACTGTTCATTGTCTACTCTTAAAATCGATAAAGCAAGAGATGCAAATTAGGTTCTGTCTTTGGGAATAGCCTATTTAGATAAACCATTTTAAACCATTTACTTAGTCAATTGAATTTATTTTTACCCAATGTTCTCCATCTTTGCCTTCCTATTTAGGGGGGGACCTATTTCCTATATTCCTTTGCATAGTATTATAATAGCAGTGATAACATTGATTGAAAACACCAATGGGGTTATTCACTAAACACCAGATTTTGTCTGAATGGACAAAATCTGGTGAAAGTGAATTAATTCCATCAACAATGACAACTCTCATATTTATGAGAGCCATATACAGACGGAACAGCAATCGCCTTGATGCGTTTGGTGTCTGAATTAAAATGAGTGCTTTTGCATCAGAATCCTTTACAAAGTGTAGATTGTCAAGAAAAGTGACTTCCGTCTCACCCAATCAGAATGCTCTTACTGTTAATACATAGCATGGGAAAGTGACTAACATTTGCCAATGTATTAGCTTGCATAACACCTTTATAAAGGCTTTCCCTGCTATCAGACAACAATCTGCACAGAGCCCTCCATGGGTAAAGATGGATTCATTTTATTGTGGCACATTTTTGATGTTTTCATAATTTTGTGAACCTGTTTTAATTTTTTTATTTTTATTAGTTATTAGTACAAATAAGCCACGTTTGTTGCTGCCTGAATCTTGCTGACCAGCATGCGCCTAACTCTTTTCATTTATTGTTCTTGTATGTTTACCTTTTGTACATATATGCCCTGTACAAATTTGCTTTAAATAAAAGTTGAGTGATAAAAAAAAAAAAATACCTGCTAGATTGTTATATGGATTGACCTCCATAGGATTTTTAATGAATTATTATTTATTTATTTTTTCTAGCTATTTAATGTGGTGACTGGCTAGCTAGCACTCGCCAGCCACAACATAATTAATTGTCGCGCTGCCTAGAGTTTTATTTCAGCCAATAATTTTATTTTTTTCTCAAAATGGAGTCTAAAGCAATCCCGGATTTGAAGCACTCAGTACAAATTTCAGCTATTCAGCAGTGTTCAGTCTAAATTAAATCCATTCACATTGTTAGAAAGGAAAAAAGGCACTGGGTTTCTCTAGACTCTGCTACACAAATTTGTTTATATTGTTAACAGTAGTAGTCACGGAATTATCTAATTTACTTACAGTATATTAGTGCACAAAAATGTTTATTATAGGGGTAGCTAACTGCAACACCCATCAAACACATTTCACAAATGAATGCAATAGGACAGAGCTAAACCAATTCTAATTAGCTTTGAAGTTACTAATAGGCAGACTGTATGATTTATAACTAAAATGTAGAGAAAAATATTGATTGATTTTAGGAACTAGAATGAAATTGAGGATGGGGAAATACAAATGAGAAAAAAATGGACAACTAAATAGTCTTAAAATTGTGAATAATATTTTTCAGTTAACTTATATATCATACCATCATTTTATGGAAGCCTGGCATAAGTTTTCCATACACCATGGAATGCATGTCACAGATACTGAAAAGAACATTCTTAATCTGTTTTTAAGTTGCCAGATGCTACTTTGAGAGCATTATCAAATAGCAACCTCAATTATTGCATGGATGTTCTTCCAACTAGGCTATGGTTTCATGCTCAGATAGAACAGAGGACATGCAGTTACTTCGCACTGTATAATACTTTGTAAACTTTTGACTCTTAGGAAGATTTAAGGAGTCTCATCCAAATGAAACTGACTTTAAAAAAAGTTTAGGCCAATTTTGGTCCTCCATTTGTTTGGGACTATATGTCTGTTAGATGACATTTTAGTGGAGATCAAAATACACCCCTGCTTTGATACAATCAGAAGCCTTTTTTAGAGTCATACAATTATAGGTTATCACATGCCAAGGTGATGAAAACATGTAGTTAAAACTCCCCCTAGTGTCAATGCACTGACAGACTGTACAAGTATATTTAGGGTACCGATATTCTTGAAAGTTAGATAATAAAAAATTAAAAATATGTGTATATGCATGTATATCTGCATGTATGCGATATTATCAATGATTATTTATTCAGATTTTGCACAATTATTTTAAAATCCTGATGTTAAATGTTAATAAATTCTATGGAAATTATAATGATGATTAAG